ATGATATTGCCCGAGTGGTTCTTGATGCTCCTGTCTCAGCATCCTGAGTGCTGGGATTATAGAATCCACCTGCTAAATTTTGTGAGCCTGGATTCTTTAGCCATTGCTGGCTGACATCAGTCCTTAGGATCTCAGTTGGCCCTTTTAGTGCACATCATAAACGATTGGAACAGGAAGCAAGGACTGGCTTCTGTTTTTTTTTTTTTTCAAGATGCACAGCTTAAATCGAACTTGAACTTGAATGAACTGACCAGGAGCCTCACAGTCCCCTCCCTAGTGGACTGCAGATTTTAAGGCAGGAATTGAAAGGGTGATTTCCCACCTCCTAGACTGGAAAGACTGAAGACCCCTCCAGTGGCCAGGTGCAGAAAACAAAACAAAGCAGGGAAACAGAGCCCCAGGATAATTCTGTCTTTATCTGGCAGGTGTGAGCCAGTTAAACCGTAAACCTCCCTCCCTGAAAGGCTGCCCCACGACCTAGACTAAGCAGCACCCACGAGCATTCTTTGATCTCAAGGTGAGAAGGTCAAAGTCACGCCTCAGCATAAGTTTTGTCATCTGCCTGGAGAACCTTCTCCCGGGGTGCACTGCACCAGTTTTTCCCTTCCCCTGGTATTGTAAGAACATCACAGCCTGGTTTGACAATCAAAGGCTCGTAGGCCTATTGCACTACTGGAGTGCACTTAGTGACTAGAGCTAGTGTTACTCCATGACTCAGTTTCCCCTTTCTATGGGATATAACATCCCCTATCTCCTGTTCTTGCTCCTTCATAATTCATCACGTTGCTTCTGGATGTGGGAGCCTTAGGACTCCCTGCAGCTTTCTCCCCAGATCTGCTGGCGCCACAATTACACAAAAGGAGTCAGTCTTGGAGTGCCAAGACCAGGGGGCAAGACTGGCCCTTTTGGCCCCACAGGCGCTGGCCTCCATCTCTTGTTCTTGGTAGCCCGCAGTCACACACACAAAAACAAAACAAAAAACGTTCTCGGGCGGGGCGTCCGCTGCCCAGCAGCCCACGACCTTCCCGGATGCTGTTCGCGTTCCTCCAGCCGTCAATCCCCTGTCGCAGCAGCCGCTGCAGGGCGGAGGCCGCGCCTGGCGAGCGGGGCGGGGGAGGCCGCGGTGCAGTCGCGCGCTCGCCGCCAGCGAGGCCATTGGCTCTGCGCAGTCACCCCACGCGGGGCTGCAGCGGCGGCCTCCGCGGATTGGCGCGCGGGCGGGCGTGTGCGTGCCGCCCGGGTCGAACTGAAGCCCCTCCGTCGCGGGCTTGCGCCCCCTCCTCACCCTCCCGGGACGACCACTCCTCCATTGTGCCCTGCATTGCAGATGCAGCATCTGGGGCTGCTGCCAGCCGCAGTCCCCACTCGCCCGCCCAGGCTCAGAGAAAGGGCGCGAAAGGCGCGCCCCGCGAAAGGCGCGCACCCCGCTCGGGCGCACGCACCGCGCCCTGCGCGCACTGCAGCAGTCGCAGCCCGGGCGCTGCGCCTTGCCCCGCCTTTCTCATTTGCATATCCCACGATCCTGTCCAATCAGTGAGCGTCTCTCGCGAAGCGGATGGCTTTTGCCTAGGAGGAAAGGGAGTGGCTGGCAGCGCATGCGCGGTGGTGGCTGACTGGAACCAAGGCTTTTATTGCTGTAGTTTATTTCCACCCCCTTCCCTCCTGTTCTCTCTCCCTCTTTCTTTTTTTCCGCCCTAGCTGGATCTGTGTTGGAGGAGAGAAGAGACCGAGGATTGCGTTTGTCTCTTATAGCTTTGAAATCCCCTAACAGCAAGACCAGCTAAGGAATTGGACTTTTTTCCTACAAAAATATATATTTTAAACGAAATCTTCTTTTCCGGCTGTCTTTGCTTTAAAGCTGTCGTCTTGAAATTATCCCCCTCCCCCAGGAGAGATGTCTTATCAGGGGAAGAAAAACATTCCACGCATCACGGTAAGTTTGGTACTCGGGAAACGCGAACAACCTTTTGTGACATAGAATAGCTGAAGAATGTATTTTAAAGGCGGAGGAGAGAGACTCAACTTTTCCTTCTTGTTGCCAACGGTGGCGATGGTGGTGAAGGTGGGGGGTGGGGGGTGGGAGATGTAATAACAGTTACAAGGCAAGCAGTTTGCAAGGCGTTGAAATAGGCGCGGGAGTGCATGGAGGTAGCGCGCCAGATTCGCTGTATCCTTCATTGTCAGTACGAGATGCTGCAGCGCTGCCCGCGGGGTGCAAGCAAATGGATGCCAGATTGAATATGCATGGTCGACGCTCGGATATTGTTCTCCGGCTGCGTGCTACGAGGCTAGGCTCCCGGAGCCTGGTGGTGGGGAGCCTGGAAAACAGATCCTCCCGTGTCTCCCGCCCTCTCCAGAAAGAGCTTTCTGGAGCCTTCTTCCTGCGAGAAGGAGCGAGTTCCAGCCCGGAGGCGTCATGACAGCAGAGGGATGCTGGAAAGGGCAGGGCGTACCGGGATGATGCGGAGGGAAGGAAGGATCGGGACTCGATGATGAACAGAGAAGGGCGGGAGCTTTTTGTGGACCCGGAGGACCAGGGGAGCCCTGTGGTTTGGGGCTGGGGTCTTGGCAGGGCTCCCGTCTCTCTTTCTCCATCTTTCCTGCCCCTTCCGCCACCAGGGAGGCGGTTGTGGTGGCGCATACAAAGCGGGCTGGGCGGGTGGGCGCTGGGGACAGCAGCGAGCAAGCTCGCGGAGGTAATGGCGCTGGCTGCTGGCTGTGACTCGCGCAGATGGCCCGGCCTGCCCTAGACAATGATCACCGTGGCCGAGGTGCTGGCCTCGTTCATCCCTGCCAAGCATCTCTGGGAGGAATTCGCGATGCTTCGGGGATGCAGCGGGTGGTGCTCCAACCCTCGTCCTCTCTTTGCGTCTTTTACTGGGGGGAAAAAATCTCACCGGTTATGTTTTCTACATCCTCGAAGGAAATCCCGGGCAGGGAGAATCGCCAAGGAAATTCATTGTTATATAATACTGTGCGATTGCACTGGCCAGCGTGTGGCCGGCTATGACCCAGCGACACGCAGATTTGAAATCATCTTCCAAATAGTGAAGATGGGTTTTAAGGCCGGATTTGAGGGCGAGCCTTTTCTTTCCTTGACTCTGGGGCCCCGGGACCCCGGCCTCCTTTCCCTGGTGCACAAGGACACACCCATCTTCTTACATCTTACATCTGTGGTGTAAGAACAGTTGGCCAAAGGAGGGGGCGTGTGCCTGGGGTTTCTAGCTTGGGCTAGGTGGGTACTAACTAGCCTTTCTTGAAGCCCCCTCTCCCTCCAATCCCCGGTACCAGATCCCAAAGGATTGACACACAGGATGCAACATACAGTGTTCACTGCCCTGAAGGACCGCATCTGGGAAGCTGGGCAGTGGGGGTGGGGAGGGTTCCTGCAAACCTCTTGTGATTAGCTGACTTCCTGCACGAATAAGACAATTTCATTTTGACAGTATGGGGAGGGGGAAATTAGGCAACCACCACGACCACTTTTTAAAAGAGCGCCCCCTCTATCCTGGAAAAATATCTAGTCCTATACCCTAGGACCTATTGGTTCTCTCTCCCTCTGTCCTGTGGCCCGCCTCTTATGTAAGAAGCCTTCTAGAAGGCTCTAGATTGAACAGACTGATTCCCCCCCCCCCCCCCCTCCAGCCCGTTGTCGAGGGGAGGGGTGTGGTTTTCTCAGTGATGGCACTGACAGGTACTTCTGTGAGGAAGGGGAGGTAGTGAAGGACAGGACTTACTACAGACATTCAGCTCAGGGGAGAAAAGGAGGGGTCCCTGCAGGCTTAAGCCCTCTGAGCCTCAGTTTCCTCATGTGTCCCAGTAGCCGAATCTTGCCCCATTCACTTCACAAAGGTAAAGATTTTTTTTTTTAATTTACCCTCTCCATGATGACAAGGCTTTCCCAGTGCCTACATCTGGATAGAAGACCCTGCAGTGTAAAACTGAACCGACCTTGTGTTTCAATGTAACGGAAGCAATAAATACCTCCTAAGCCCAATAGCGTTTACACTTATGCACAACTGTATCTTGTTTTCTTTGTTCGGAAGCATCATGTGTCTGTTTTAAGGAAAATTTCCCTTTTCTAGGTAGTTGCAAAGCACAGGTAGTACTTGCTGAGGTTTTCTTTTGTACTAGAGTTCTGGGCTGACTGTTTTCAAGATGAATGCTGTTCTTTGAAAGGCGTAGCATAATAAAAGGGGAATGGCTCTGCAATAGCCAACCTGTGCTTCCTCCCAGGTTGATGACATCACATACACCCCATCCACAGTGTCTTGGATAGCTGTGAGCCAGAAGATAGCACCTCTTTTACATGTTCTTGGCTGGATTAGCCTTTAGTTTTAGTATTTTTTTTTTTTAACACTCAAGTGGGTCAACCATCTGTAGCGGTATTAGACTTAAAAAATTCCCCATGTCTAATTTATCATAAAACTCTTGTTTCTTGTTAGATGGGTGTCTGTTTTTATAGTTCCTCCTTTGTCCATGCACTCGCTGTGATTTACCACAAAGATAAACGAACACAGAGTGGACACACTAAGCTGAATGCCTGTTATGGCTGAAGCCCCTGTGTTTGTGTAGCATATGCTATGACAACAGACTTTTGGTCAGTTTTCCCTGACAAAAAGTTTGCCAAGACATTACTTTCCTACACGTGGGTGGATTTTTTTTTTTTTTAAAGATGAGGTTTAGCCAAAAATCATTTCAAACGCCTTGTCTTTTTTAGCTGGAATGTTCTATAATGCCCCCCTCTTTTTTTTCCTTCTTTTCAGGTCTAAGATGTTCTTGAAAAGATGATTTGTTTATGTAGGCTGAGCTTACTCATCAGGTGATGAACAGCCTGCCTAGCATAGGTTCACTTTGGTTAAGGTACCTCCCCAAATTACCCGACTTTGAGCATCACTCTTGAATGGTGAAAACATACCTTTAGCCCCCCCCCCCCCTTGAGAATGGTGCTTCTTCTAGGTCAGTTATATGTTGTGACCTTGTTCCTCTCTTTGTTACAGAGTGATCGCCTTCTGATCAAAGGTGGCAAGATTGTGAATGATGACCAGTCCTTTTATGCCGACATATACATGGAAGATGGGCTGATCAAGTAAGTATGATTCTGTGCTATGCATGTACATATGCATCGCCCACACATACACATACGTACACACGCACACACACACACCCAGACACTGTGTTCCTAAGCTTTAGCTTCTTTCATGTAAATAGTCTCAAGTTTTAATGACTCTATGCTTGGGCTGGGAATGTCGTAACATTGGTCCAATGTGCATCTGGCATTAGTCAGGCCCTGCTGAAAAACCCGAAGTGACCAATTTAGCATATTTTAAGCTTGTTTTTATTGGTGGTAATTAATGAATTTGGGGAATTCAGATTCAGGGAATTTGAAGTCACAGCACACATGAGCACCCATGTATTATGTAATCTGCTATTTTGAGCAGAGGTGACACAGCCGCCTCCTGGAGCCAGCTCACAGACTCGGTTCACGATAGGCTGCATGCGCTTCAGTTTTCCTAGACTGTCGTCGTTTGGGATGGAGTGCTCAGGCACAGCACATGAAGGTGGACAGCAGCCTGTCCTGCTAAGATGTGTACCCGCTTGCTTAATTAGGGAGGGCCACAGGATATTGAGTTAATTATCAGCAACTCAGATAAATGACTGCCTGATGCTGGAGGGGTTTTAGGGCTCATTCTTTTTCAATTTTTTTCCTTTTAGACTTATTTTCTGTATGTGAGTGTTTTGCTTCCATGTATGTATGGATACCACATCTCTGCCTTTGAAAGTCGGAAGAGGGCATTGGATCTCTGAAATTAGAATTATGGATGGTCATTAGCTACCTGTGGGTGCTGGGAATTGAACTCAGGACCTCTGGAAGAGCAGCAAGTGCTCTTAACCCCTGAGCCATTTCTCCATCTCTGCTGTATTCTTGAAGAATCATTGAGGCCCGTGTTGCTTGTGTATTGGGTTTTGGGTTTGGGGATTCTGGGACTCTGGAGGGTTAACGGAGCAGAGTGTACAGCAGTATCTTCATGCATCTCCTCTGGGGACAGCTCATGGGCTCTGGAGAGAGAGCACATCTGTTGGAAGGCAAGCAACCCAGCGAACGACATCCTTTAAATAAGCAGTGCTCATCAGACTCTCGCAGCCAGTGAGTCTGGAGAGGGGCAAGCTGCGCTGGCTGCGATTGCTTGGACGCTCACCCTGACCGGCGAAGCCAGAATGGTCTTAATGTTTCCACAGTTAATGCTTTCTCCATGTGTGTTTGTCTGTAACAGCCTCAGCTCTGGGCGGTCACAGGCTATGACTTTCTTATTCCTTTTGCATCCCCAATCGTAGGCGAGCATGATGGGTCTGGCCGAAGGACACTGGCCTGGAATGGGGCGGCCTGATGCTATTTTTAGTCATGTTTATTTGTCTTAGAAATTTAACTCCTCCTTGATGAATTTTCCCTTAAAAAATTGGTAAAAAGATGTAGTAAAATTAAACAAATTAATTGAACGATGAGATCTTGTCTCAAAAATAAAATTCTACAGCTGGTTGGGATGGCAGCCACCTTTAATCCCAGCACTCGGGAGGTAGAGACAGGAGGACCTCTGTGAGTTTGAAGCCAGCTTAGACTACAGAGTGAGTTTTAGGATAGTTAGGGCTTGGTAGAGAGGCACTGTCTCAAACAAAACATGAAACCCTCAAACACAAATCAAAAACGTTGCCACAACACCCCTCCCCCTCAAATAGCATTGATATTTGTTTTTCTACTTTTATCTGACTCCATGTGCACCTGCTTCCATATTCTACGATTATTGGAATTTCAGTGTTTGCTTTTTAGTTTTCTTTTTCCCTCCTTGTTTTGCCCTCTCTACACTTTTCCACCTCTGTTTTCCCTATATTGAAAAGGAAAACCGTGAAAACAAATGTTGGGAGATAGTTCTAGCGCGAACTGCCCTGGGAAACTAGCCGAATGGCGGCGTGTCCGAAGAAGGCAGAGTGAACGTCATATAAGTGTTGGGGGCCTTGTCAGTATTCCAGCTTTGGGGTCTCTGAGAACTAGCCATTGAATGAGGAGTTTGCTGCCTTGTGTAAATTGTGCTTTGAGGACAGGGGCCTCATTCTCCAGTGCTGGTGGGTCAGGAGCTCCCTCTGTAGCCAAGACTACAGAACTTGAACTAGAAGTAATCCCCGTGTCAGTCTCCCAAGTTGCTGGGGTCATGCAAGCCCCCGTGCCTGGTTTTTCCTCATTGTTCCCCATCTGCTCATGTTTGGGGATGAGGAGTGGGTGGGAGTGCTCCCATGAAGGATGATAGGGATGACTCCAAACAGAAGTGCTCGCCACGTAGTGAAGGTCTGTTGATAGCGCGATGAGGACAGATGTCAGATCCGATTTGATTCCGCCTCTCATTGGTGCCTCTCTCACCGACTGTGCTTTCTCAGGCAAATAGGAGAAAACCTGATTGTACCAGGGGGCGTGAAGACCATTGAAGCCCATTCCAGGATGGTGATCCCGGGAGGAATCGACGTGCACACTCGCTTCCAGATGCCTGACCAGGGAATGACGTCAGCAGATGATTTCTTCCAGGGAACCAAGGCGGCCCTGGCTGGGGGGACCACCATGATCAGTAAGGCTCGGGCACTGTCACCTTAGTGTGGCTTCAGCGCAGCGGGGAGGGGGGACGGGGGGGGGGAGAGTCCTTGTTGCTAGATTGTAACGTTGGCGAGCTGAGCAGAGCTCTGAGCGAGACCATAGAGAAAGTAAACTGTCTTATTCCCTTAGCCTCGTATTCTGCTAAGCTCTGTGTCTGCAGTTGAACTTGAGGATGGTTTTCTGGGGGAATTCTGAAAGATAAGAGGAGGGCTGGCAGCTCCATCTCATCTGGTACTTTTGTCCTCCTTGACTTCCGCATGTGACTGGGTTATGAAAATATGGCATTTGAAGCCACAAATATTAGATTACAAAAATTCCAAGGATATTTCTCAGAGTGAAGATAGGATAGATGGAGCATATTCTGTTTGTTTTCCAGACAGGGTCTTACGTAGCCCAGGCTAGCCTCAATCCCTATGTGTAGCAGAGGTTAGTGACTGGTTTTATTTCCCTGCCTCCCAAATGCTTGGATGATAGGCATATACCACCACACTCAGGAGCAAATGGAGTGGTAGCCTGAAACCTCCATTCCAATAATGTGAAGCTCAATAGAGGGTATACTTTGTAGCCTGGGCTGGACACTACATGAGCTAGGCTGCTATACTTGGAAGAAGGCCTGCTGGTATTAGCTGTTTGTTAAACAGGAACGCTGTAGGCACACATGGTGGTGCCCTTTCATGTGTCAGTCCCAGGGTTTCGTGTTCTCGAGTCAAGCAAATTTGAGGTGTGATCACTGGTCATAGCAGCCATGCTCCGGGTTTGCATGTGAACGGTTTGATTCCGGCATGCCTTTTGACAAGGGGTCTGGGGAGGTGGGTACTGCACAATGGCCTGTCAGAGTCCTGTGTTAGAAAAGGGATTTTATCCAAGAGCAAAAGTCAGTATGCTGTGTCATGAAGGAAGAGTTAACAGTGGGGTTGGGAAGAGGGTTCAGATCAATACGGAAAGGACCACAGTTGATGCCTTTTGAAGCCTGTTTTCCTGGGGGTTTCTCAGTGATGACTGTGACTTTGGGGAGTCTGTCTAGAAGATTCTCATCTGTCTTCCTGGGGTTTTCTTGGCGATGACTGTGGCTTTGGGGGAGGGTCTGTCTAGAAGATTCCCATCTGTCTTTCTGAAGCTAGAAGTGCACTGTCCCATGTCTCCTGCATTTTAAATCACACCTGACTCCCTGGTGTTCCCATCATCCTAGTCTTCAATCTGAAGCACTAGGGACAGCAGTCTGTTCCCTTGTCACACCTGTGAGGCAGATCCTTTCGGGTGTTCCTTGCTGCTCTGCCTTGCTCTAGTCTTTTGGGTGTCATTCCTGGGAGGGCCTTTCATGCAAACCCACCTTAGCTTGCTGCTCTATTGGCTGCTTGGGGCTCACTGGGATGAATGGACCCTCCCTGATCCCCTTTTGTTTCTGAGCAGCGCTTGTGGGCTTCCTTCCCTAGGCAAGGCATTTCAGTATGTCTTGTGCTAATCCAGGGGATCTAAGATGGTCACTCGAGGGCCCCAAGGAGATTTCCAGGAAAGGGCAGTGGGCATGATGGCCGCCTCTGTCTGTTGGGATGAAATGTGATGGCGTTTTAGTGCGGGTTCAAGGTGCAGGCAGTTTAGCTCAGCGGTAAGTGGGTTTGATGACCAGATCTTCTAGAACAGAAGGGCTGAGCCTCTCTCTCAGCAGTAGAACTCTGTATGGGAGGTCCTGAGTTCGAACCACAGCACTGTAAAAGGTGGAAAGAGAAAGTCTGTGGGTAAAACGGTGCTCAGGGTTGCCACGCCCTACTTCCGTTGCTTTGGCAACGACTCTTGCCAAAACCATGGTTGCTGATGCGGGCAGGATTCCCAGCAGCCTCACTGCTCTCCCCCTCCTGGGTGCAGGTGAGGACTTGGGATTTTTTTTTTTTCCTGTCTTCTGCTTGCTGGGTTCACTTATATTCTGCCCAAGTATGTGGCTGAAGCTTGCTTTGTGAGGCAGGGGCATAGCTTCGTGTAACTCAGAGCCTGCTTCTTTAACGGGGCCCTGGCTTCCTGAGTACATGTTGAAGCCAGAAAGAAAGGCTTTGGGTGTTTTCAAGTGCAAACTTGAAGGGCTTCTGGCTGTTGTAGAAACAAGCAGTTGGGTAAATTGGTACAAAGACTGCCCACACCTTTCTCCCCCTCGTCCCTCCTACCTCCTCTAATCCTTCTCACCTGCACTGGTGGGTGAATCTTTACCTCTTTCCTTCTGGCCCTGGAGGCTCCGTTTCTGTCTGGCAAAGCCCTGCTGCCTGCTGAAGAAAATGCAGCCGCGTGTTCCAGTGTAGAAGAAGGTGACACATCACCAGCAGAATATAGTTAGCATCAAGCCAAGCTGCTGCTGAGCCTTACACAATGGGATCTTTGTGAGGGGACCAAGTGTAGGGTGGCAGGATGCCCTTTGCCCTTTCCATCCAGGGATGGGTGGGCAGTGACACCAGACATAGGGCATCCAAACTGGCCCCATAGTCATGGCGGAGACTGGAGGTGGGTTGTGGGAGTGGCTGGAATTTTGCATTGGGAAAATGGGAGTTGGTGCTAGCACTCCCCCCACACAAGGGTACTAAAATTTGAGTATGCCACAGTAAGACTGGCGTAGTATTTGCATATTGTCTACCTACACCTTCCTGGAGACTTTGAATAACCTCTAGATTATTCATAACACCTAATGCGATGCAAATGTTGGGGGAAGTTACTATCATGCTGTCTTATTCATAACACCTAATGCGATGGAAATGTTGGGAAAATTATTGCCGTGCTGTCTTATTTCAGGGTGTGTTCTAGTTTGCTTCCTGTGGCTCTAAGAGCCACCACGACCGAAAGCAGCTTGTGAAGGAGAGCATTTTTGCCAGCCTACACTTCCAGGCCACAGCCCATCCTTGAGAGAAGTCAGGACAGCAATCAAGCAGGAGCTGTAGAGAAGCGCGGCTCACTGTTCACTCTGGCTCATTTTCTTAGCTGGCTTTCTTACAGGGGCCAGGCCTAGGGATGGCGCTGTCCACAGTGGGCTGGGCCCTCTCACGTCAATCACTGGCCACAGGCCGACCTGAGGGAGGCAGTTCTCTAGTTGAGGTTCTTCCCAGGTGATTCTAGGTTGTCACGGTTACAGCAGAAACTAACCAGCGCAGGGCTTAATGATAATAGAAGTCCACACAGGTTTGGTAAGATGCAATAAAAGAAAGAAAAAAAAATGAATCTGGAGTGAGTCGAATTATCAGGTGCTGTGAACACAGAGGGGGGCATCCCTCGGAAGCCTGTGCTGGTTCCACAGGCCGAAATCTCCAGGGGCAGAAGCTATGGCTGATGCTGCTGATCTAAACCCAAGGTTTTTCCTAGAGGTGTGGGACTTGGGCACAGTGCCCCCCAATGGCCCCTCTGCTGTGTCTCCAGCACCCAGTTCCAGAGCGTTGCTTCTGCAGTCCCACAGGCTTGCTTTCCAGAGCCTCCCTGGGTCTTCACTCATGCTAGGACATTTTGCCTCTATATCCATCCAATTCCTGCCTTTGCTTCCTGCTCCTCTAGTTTGGCCCCAACCTTCTGTGGCTGAACTCTTTTTTCCAAGCCTGGCCTGCCACTGTGCCCTTCCTCTGACCCCATCGGTGCTTCTCTCTTCTTCAGAGAACGCAACCCAAGCTGTCTGCCACGTGAGGCAAACCTGCTGACTAGTCTCGATGCCTATCGACTCCTTGACTGTCTTTCCTTCTGTCTGTGAGACTCCTCACCGCCTTTGAGGTTCAACATAGGTACCCCTCTCCCTGGAACCTGTAACTTCTCTGTACTTTGGCAAAAGATGGGCTTTTATCTCATACTCTGTGGCACTTAGTTTCATGTAATGTATCCATTGAAGCCCTCTGTTTTGTTGTCAAGCTTCCCCCCAAGCAATGTCAGTGCTAGGAGGGTTGGATGGATGATGCATGGATGCATGGATGGATGATGGATGCATGCATGCATGATGCATGGATGGATGGATGCATGCATGATGCATGGATGGATGGATGCATGATGCATGGATGGATGGTTGGATGGATGGATAAAAGAAAACTCCAAGGGCTCTTGATTTGAGTGATGCTGCATGACTGGGTCATGAGGGTTTGTGAACTCTGTGTCTTGTCCTCGGTATGATGGCAGTGACTGTTCCTTTAGTGCTCCAGCCACCCCGACCAACACCAGTGCTGTGCTCAGCTCTGCCAGCAGTTGGGGAGAGCCCAGAGCTCAGGTGTGTCAGCCTGTGGTTGTGGACGGGGCAGGCTCTCTCCCGGAATTGTCCCTGCATAGATGCCGGAGCTGGAGACGCACGATGGTTTGCATAGCTAAGAGAACTTGCCGCCTGTGGACAGTAGCACGACAGAAGCCATGCGTCCCTAGGGACCCTGGTGGACTCAGAAGCCTTTCCCAGGACCCTTTGTACTTGTCCCAGCTTTTTCTGTGGGTGAAGGAAGATTGAGGGGACGTGGCTCAAGAGTACCACTGTGGTACATCCGTTGCTTGTCATTTGCTCATCCGCGTGGCATTGGGTTTGCGCCTTGCCTGTGGCAAGCCTGCGTGTGAACACAGGGAGAGCTGAATGTGTCTGTAACGGATACTTTGATTATTCCCTTTGCAGTGCTCGCTTGACTCTGGTTAGAAAGTGTTTACCAAATACCCAACCACATCACACTAAAGTTTCCAAGTCTAGGACCAAAGTTGTCACCACAAAATCTGCCTGTGGTCATGATTAGAAAGCCATGTTATCCCACATACTGTCTGCGTGGACGCCCCACCTCATTCAGTGTCTTATCTCTCCCAAACCCTACGTGATTTGCCTAAGGCCATGAAGGTCTTCTCTGGACTTGCTCAGGTGTCACTGGGTGGCTGTCTGGATTAGAAGGCTTTTGTTCATGACTGTGCCAATTGCTTGATACCTGTTGCTGAGGAGAATAAAGAGGAGCATTCTGGATAGCCATAGAGCCCTTCCTGAAGGTCTCACGCTCATGT